CAACACTGGAAGAACAAGAACAACCAGCATCAGCCTCGGCTCCCAGTGTAGAATGCAACATGGATAATCTATCTCAAGCGTCGCTCACCCTGATATGTGTTCTCAGCTTTATGCACGGGAATCACTGATAAGGACGCCAAAAATTACATGGACAGAAATCAATTTGAAAAAAAAACCATAGTATGGATGCAGCCTGAGATGAGACATTCTTGATGTGGACGACTGACGGCTTGTAACGTGGAACTTAAAGGTCTCCACAGTCCGTTCATGCTTTTGCAAAAGTCTCTGCCCGCTGCTCGCTCTGTATCGCATCATTGAACAATTATAAATACATTTCCTGAGTGTACTGGCTGTATGTGTGCACACTGTATGTGCACATGTGTGTGTACGTGTACAGTAACATACCTCCATGATAACTGGCCACAACCTCTGTGGCAGTAAAGACTGCAACATCTGCATTGTAAAAAGAGCCTGTTTGCATTCTTTTCTGAACAAATTAAACCGTCTGTGTAAATAAATGTATGCAGGAAACTGGTCCACGTGAACACTCGACCTCAGGAGTTATTTCATATTGAAGAAAACTTTGCTTGTTATCGGCTCAGTCACTTGTTTCTTCTCATCTGCAACCATTTTGCAAACCGCTTCAACAACAATAACCCCTGTTCACTTTGATGATACAGGTTGAACGGACCACCTACTCAGAACAATGCAAGAAATCGATATGTTACAGATGTGACCCTCAGAGCAGACGATTTTTAAAAATGAATGACTTCAAATTGTCTTCAAAACATATTAATCTCAGAAACTGGTGCAACAACAGTCCGAACAGGAATCTGGATGTATTTATTGTCTGCATAGAAGCTCCACATATTCAGCTCTTTAGTTTTTGGAAGTGAAGACTCTTTATTTTAACGTCCCGACACTGTAGGGATGATCTCAAAATTGCTTCAGTGTGGGACATTTGATTTAAAGCTCAGGAGAAGATCTGCTTTGACGTGGGAATATGTGGGGAAATCACTGTTTAATACATTAGAGTCTTCAGAGGTGTGTGTGTGTGTGTGTGTGCAGAAGCTGGAGGAAACACACAACAGTGTTATACACGCCGTCATCTTGAAAATGTTAAATGTTGCACACGGCCCACACAACATCTTGAAAATGGATAAAGATGCAGACAGATTGGATTTCCACATCTCCTCTGCATTCGACTGATTTCAGTTGTTGAGCACATCTGCCTCCATCCTGTAAACCTATCATGTATCTGTGTTGTTTGTGGTCATATATACCGTATATGTATTCACCATAATAAAAGGATAGAGGGAATGAGTTTAACCTTTTACACTTTCACTAATCTTTCTTCTCTCCTCTGAAGACCTCATGTTGGTTTATCCTCTTCTCTTCCTCCGCAGGTTTGGATCACATCCCGTCTGACCTGCCGTCTGACATCGTTAAGATGGAGTTGTCCAGTAACAGCATCAAACATCTCAGGCCCAAACAGTTCCTGCTGTCCAAAGACCTCAAGCTGCTCAACCTTAGCAGCAACAGCCTGCACCATATAGACACAGGTAACACTGCAGTGCCACCCTCCATAATCCCTCCGTCTACTATCTACACCACTTATCCTTCACAGGGTCACAGGGGGGCCGGAGCCACCCTCCATAATAATAAGTAATATCCAAAATGGAACTCAGTAGAGCGCATACCTCCCTAAATTAAAATAATACCACATCCTTCCACCAAGATCTGTGGTAATCCGTCCAGAAGATTTTGTCTTATCCTTCTAATGTACACACACAAACCAAACGCAGATGTAACATCCTGGGCAGTGGTAATGATAAAATTGATTCATATAACACTTTTAAAGCATAAAATGCAGCCAAGGTGCTTTACACAAAAGAACAGAAGCTAGAAGAAGATACATATAAAAAGGGTTAAAGCAATGTTAAGATTACAATAAAGGAAAAGACAGCTGAATTAATTAAAAGCAAGACCATAAAGATACGTGATGAACGTAAAATGAAATTTTTTTAAACATGTGGCCAAAAAACAATCAATATGCTAAACACTTATCATGATGAAAATGTTTGTAGTTAATTTTCACAATTAATGTCACATTGTTATTATTTATATTTAACGTTCAAAAATGTTCTTTATGGACAGAGAATGAAAAACATTTATATATATATTTTGATAGTATAATATGTCAAGCCTTACGACAGAGGATGCATACATTTACAGACAGCTGCTTTAAATTACCTCACATACACCTGAACACATGTATATATTTCTCTTTTTGTTTTTTTACTGGAGTGTACTGGTTCCACCTCAGCAGGGGCACCATAATAAAAAAGTGCAGACTCATTATTCTTCCCAGACTAATGATGTTTGTGCTCACGTCTTCCTGTCCAAGGGGGAATCCTTTACGAAACCTCACCTATTATCCTGCAACATATGTAAACAATCATCCGCAGCTCCAGCCCCACAACTATTTGGAAACTAGTTGAAAACTTTTGGAAAGTAAGAAAACGCTCTGAGGGCTCATGACAGCCACAGACATATTGTCTCAATCATGATCTCTCCTTTTATTCTTGTAAAAAATAAAAAATAAATAAAAAAATGTTTAGTATCGTTTTCAAAAAGGTTTGTTTATTTAGGCTTTTTAATTGAGACGATGACCAGAGAGGGAAAGAAACATGAATGAAACGGCTCTGGCACACTTGGATTATTATTAATACTTTAAATGCACTGTTTTTTTGCAACAGTCTTTCGTTGTTGGTTTTGGCGCAGTCTTATGCCAGGTTGTTGTGGGTTTTTTTCTTTCCTGGCAAGACAACAGTTGAAATTGACAAAACGATAATTTAGACAGTTACAGAGAAGTGTGGTTTATTTGAAGGTCAATTTGGTGCAGAGTCCTGTGACTAATAAACTGACATTTAAGGAATTGTCACAATGCGGGGTCTCCATCTTTCTGTAACCGAAACACTGCAGGAAAAAAATAAAGATTCTAGATACTCTAAAACGTTTTGTTACTGTGAGTGAGGCAACGATGAAGGAGCATGTAATTATGTAATAGTTGGACGGATGCAACACTGATGTTTGTAACTATGGTGACTTCAGAGATTAAAACTGTGTTTAATTTGTCATGGAGCTTTGTTGGCAAGATCAACCCAGATTACGGGAAACCTGGGGGGTCGTAGCATTAATTTATCTCCTCTGTGGTGATTATGATGTATGTATCTATCATTTAGGCTGGAAAAATGTAATGTCACGGTTTAAAGCGTCTGTTGCAGCCACAATCCTGGAGAGAGGGCTGATTAAAATACTCGGAGATTAGTTGTCTCTTTGCTTGCATTCATTTATTCCATCATTTTATTTCAGTAGTCAAGGACGGTGAGATCATCAAGGTTTAGAACAAGGAACAGATGGAAAAACATTTATGGAGACAGCAGCTGGTTAGCCTAGCTTAGCACAAGGCTCAGGGAAAAGACTGAAAAGTAGAAAACAGCCGGTCTGCCTGGCTCGGCTCAACCTATTTAGACTTGTGTTTTTCAACAAATTATACAATTAAATTTACTAGTAAGGAATGTTAGAAGTGCTGGAATAGGGATGTTGTTGAAATGTTAAAGGGAGCGTAAAGAAATACTTAAAATAATGTGAGCAGACCTCATCTCATGCGACTGAAGGGTCCAACAGTCTCAGAATAAGCCTTCTTTAAATAACCTGCTGTGACTGCCGACCACATTGAGCTTTGTCGTCATAGTGGCTTTAGGGTCACTCTGATTCTCTTTTTCCTTCACGTCTCTATCTCAGCGACGTCTTTACTCTCGCTATATGTCTATTATCATATGTTCACTCTCCTTTTCTCCTTCCATCCTGTCTTCCTCTCTGTTAAAATCAGAAGATGGGCTGGAGTCTGGAGGACAGTCTTAAGAGGCAGTATGACATAAATTAATTATTGATGTTTTGCTTCCTCTCCCAGCGGCATTTGCAGGCCTGCTGTACCTCCGTGAGCTTGACCTGTCCAACAACAGCCTCCATTACTTCCAGTACGGTGTACTCGAGGACCTCTACTTCCTACGGAAGCTCTCACTGGCCAACAACCCGTGGATCTGTGACTACAACATCCACTACCTGATCTACTGGCTGAAGCACCACCCCGGCGTCTCTTACACTGGCCTGTTCTGCGCCGAGCCACGGGAGTTCAGGGGCTGGCGTGTCGAGGACTACGTCAAGACCTACAACGGGGAGTGTCCCAAGGATAAACAAACAGAGGGGATGGACACGGGACAGACAGAACAGGGAAGGTCAGACAATGAAGCACAAGAGGTGATGGGGGAGACAGCCGAGGGGCAGGCTGAGCATCTGCTCCAGCACCTGAGGGAGAAGAAGCGAAAGAGGTTTGAGATCATCAGGCTGAGTTAAAGTGGAGGTGGATCAGTGGACTGGTGTGGTTTAGAATGGAGGGAAATTTACAGAGGAGGCCACAGAGTGGTCTGTGGACAGGCTGGAAGACGGATTGTTAAAGGCAATGAGATTTGATGTTCAAATAAAAATATGATGAGCAGAAATACAATTTTGGGATAAAATCCAGAATTTGGGCTTTTTCTTAAGATTTTTAGATATGAAGTCTTCTTGCTACATTTACCTTTAAACAAAAGGTGTTGGAAAATGCTGTTTGAACTTTTGTTTTATCTTTTTGCAGAACATTCTTAGTCCAGTCTGTATCTGGTCTAATAACCCCAACAAAGAAAACAACTCTCAATTACAAACACAATGAAATTGCAGGTGCTCTCTTCTTTTCTGTTACAGTAATTTTGATTTAAACATTCTCTTTCTGTCTCTTTCCTGTATTAATTAATGTATGATATTGTTGACCTGTTTTCTGGGAATAAAATTGTGTTTATTTTTTCTGAACATGTGTTTTTACTAAATGTTGCACAGACATGATGGAGAGCAAAAGTAGGCATGTAAAAACAGAACTTGGTTACCCACCGCGACACCAGTTGACAACCAGAATGACTGGAAACTTTAATGAGGACATGAAAGATATACTGGGTATCCACCACATGATAACTACATAGAAACATACCGGATTGTAAAAAATGATCTGATCTCAGATTTGAAAAGAGAGTTTATAGAAAAATTGAGGACTGTTAAAATTGATCATGAGCATGTGGGGTATAAAGCTTTTTTCACATACTTGGAAAAGACAGGATGGAGGCTAGACTCCAGTTCACTCCAGTTCAGATGGTGGCGGTAATGCAGCAGGAGAAGAATAAACTCAAGCTGTGTCTCTTGGGGCCGTCATAGTCTTTATTTAATTTGACATCTGAATGATGAGGAATGACAGAGATTTCAATTTTGCAGTTGAAGGTGAAGTTTTGCGGTGTTGATTAGCGCCACCTAGTGTGTTCCCTTAATTAAACTCCCAAGTCCCAGGTGCTTAAACATGGTCCATCATTTCCTGCAGTCACTGAAGGAGTTAAACACAGTTGTAGCAGAACTCATTCATACTCAAATAAAGTTTGTTTCTCAAGAGAAAGAAAAAAGGTTTCACGGTCACTGATTGATCATTTATTGCTTTAACACTGGAATTTTTAGTTTTGGATGAAGGCCCCATCTGGATTGTTCCCCTCATGATGAAATGGATAAAAGAATCAAGCCAGATTGGCTGCATCAGTGCTACATGACTTCCATGACTTCCAGGTTGGTTTAAATAGGAACAGCCAACCTGGCACTGAACACAAATAAAAGGTTATATCCTGGACGGAAGCCCTGTCGGCTTACGTTAAGTTTGGCCGTTGGGTTTGTAGGAACTGACCTTGACACAGTTGAGCCCTGTTTACTGAGATGCATTTATGTTCCTTAGTGCAGCCACATGTGTTTTACATTAAGCTGATCTTTACTGTGTTGGGCAATGAGTACCAAAGCTGTAGTTATGTTTTTGTGTGGACACAGTGCCCCCTAGTTTTCAGGATGAGGTAGTCCTCAAGGATGATTTAAAAAACAAGGCCAAACCTCCCTTTAAGCCAGGGCTCATGATCGTTTAAAAGAAAACCTGCATAGGTGAGGTGGGGTGTGGCTCAGGAGGTAGAGGGGGTTGTAGTTGAGTGGGAAAACACAACAAATGCAGATGCCTACATACAGCAGAGAGGTCACTGAATGCTTTTATTAGTAGGAATAAAAGTGAATCATATACTGTGGCCTTCACAGTCACCAGATCTCCAGTACAGGAGATGTTTGGACTGGTAACACTCCCCCCCACAGTCATCAACACACAAAACTAAAAAGCATCTTTATGTAAAACCTTCCAGGAGATTGCAAGAGAATTGTAGATACCAACCCAAGATGCACTGGGGTTGTTTCTTTGTTCCTTGTAAAAATTCTTATTTCCTACTGCATCGTGATGCAAATTGATAAGGATCCAAATTAAAGTACATTCAGAGTGTAATACAGATATTTGTGAAGATGTAAAACAACTGTCATAGTCAAACACAGGTGTTTCCATTCACGGTCTCCTGGTTTGTGGCAGGTTCTCCAGGACGTTCTCACCCAGAGTGCAGCAGCAATGGGGGTTCGGGGGTGGGGGACCCTGAAAAGACGTATCAGCTCAGTGAAGGATGGAGACGATATTTGGATGGTAGATGTGAGAAAACACAGTCGATATGGAATTCTGTGTGTTCTTGCAGCACAGCTTTGTAAGAGGTAACAGGGTTAAAGGTCAGCCAGCAGGTGGAGCCGATGCTTTTGGTGGAAAGTGGCGTATTAACTCTTTTACATTCCGATATTTTGATTCCAGACGTTAGTGCAAACTTAATACAACAAAAAGCAAGTGCCAGTCTCACAGCATGATCTGCATATATGAAAAACTGGAGGAGATAAAACAGTCTAGAATGCAGTTGATGTAAATGAAAATGTCACACTAATCGCACCCACTCACCACTGTCTCTTATTCTCTCAATGGCAAACATGCCTCATCGTAACATTGACACTCTTCAATTCTCTGATTCTCTTCACGTCACAGAAAAGTACACTGAATTTATTGTTCAATACTTTCCAATATTTGTCTAATTCTTGGAGGCCTTGGCGTCCATGAGTCCACATCTCGCTCATCATCGTATCTTCTTCCATTCCTCTTTTCCAACATTCACAACTACAAATGTCCTTTAACCCTATCTTCCCTGTTATGTCCACGTCCGAAATCAGCAACAGGACTTCTTCTCTGTCTCTGGTGGTGAGTAGGCACCGACTATGCCATTAACCGGCCGGGAGTCGGACCGGAGGAGAACATGACTTGTGCTATTCACGTCCTCCTGATGGACGTTAAGGCCATTACGATAGAGCAGCTCTCTGGCCATCATCATGAAGGCCTCCGCCACGTTCTGACTCTCCTGGACACAAAAGATCGACAAAAATATAATAACTTCCAAGCGTCACCTCTGTGTTTTATGTATGTGCATGAACACTCATTACCTTTGCCGATGTTTCTAGAGCAGCGAGGATACCTCGCTCCTTTGCCAGATTGCACGCATCTTCAAACTGAACCTGACGCTCCTCCTCCATGTCACATTTGTTACCTAGATAGAGACAATCAGAGCACAGAGAGGTGGAAACTCAAGATTCTTCTTCGCACCTAACAGAGGGCTGTATCACGAAAGTTCATCATCTTTGTTTGTTAGCAGGATTAAGCAAAAACTGCTGCCTTGAAATGTTGTGGAGGGGTGGGGCGACACTTTAAATTGTAGGTGTGGATCTGCGTCATGAGGCCGATCTAGGAATTTTTGAATCCACATACTGGTGTGTATGTCTAAATTCACTCTCTTGATAGTATTTTTCCATACATACTCACAACCAAAATAATAAACTCTGTTTAAAGTTAGAAAATTAGATTATAGGTATTTTAGTTCCAACTTTCACTATATTCTCAAAAGTTCACATCACACTTACCTATGAGTACTAGCACCACATTATTTGCCCCGTACAGCTCCACCTCCTTGATCCAGTGTGTCACAGAATCAAAGGTGGAGCGTCGTGTGATGTCATAGGCGATCATGGCGCCGTGAGCGCTGCGGTAGTAGCTCTGGGTGATGGTACGAAACCTCTCCTGACCTGCCGTGTCCCACACCTGGATCTGTCACACACAGACAAACTGTGAATCAACTTAAACAAACCCATGAATATATACTGTATATACACAAAGATGTGTGTATATTGTATGGATCATACACAACAAAATGAGATGATGGGCTAAAGCCACACGCACACAGACACAGACACACACAAAGAAATAACAAAAATAACTCCTTCTGCCAAGTAATAATCTCTTTTCTACATGGACTCATACAAATGACCTAACAGTGTAAAAGTAGTAGTAGTAGTAGTAGTAATTGTAGTGGTAGTAGAAGTAAAAGTCCAAGCAGCAGTTGTAATATTAATACAAATAACAGTAATAGCAGTATTTGTAATTGTAGTAGTATTAATAGTAATGGTAGTAGAAGTAATAGTCCTTGCAGCAGTTGTAATAGTAATACAAGTAACAGTACTAGCAGTAGTTAAACAACACAGCTAGAGCCACAGGTAACCATGGATACTCAGAAATAGAGGTGAACGCTCTCTGTCTCAGGTGGTTCACTTTTTCACAGCCTCAGGCTTCAAAACGTTCGTTAGAGTTGAGGTGAAAGGGAAAACCTGCAGCTCATCATTGGATTCTTGAACGCTTCACTGTCAATAACCTGCATGTCATTCATTTTACTGGTGTTACTTTTACAACTTAATGGAGACGCTGTGTTGTGGATTAATAATTGACAGAAAATAAAGTAAGGTATTTGAGCTACATTAAATGAGACCAGTAAATCAAAGAATTTATCCTTGGGTGAATTATAATTCAGGGGCGGTAACCTTGGACATAGTTTATGACGCAGACTATTTAAGTATTTCCTGGTGTGTTAAAGTTCAGCTGATCATGTTTGTTTGGAAGATTACACATGCCGAGCATTATTTTTTTTTAACCTCCAGTCACCGAACTGGCTTGTCCACAAACCAATTCAGTTGCTGTAGGTGTGTTTATATGCAGGTGCAATCTACAAACAAATCACTGCCAGAAAGACAGTGATATAAAACAGAGAGAAAAATGATTTAAAAAATGGCACTATGAAAACAGAAAGTGATTTATTATATTTGACCTTTCTGGGCTTCCTTACCTGTAGTTTCTGCCTAATTTGGGGCAGAAGCTACACTGACAACACATTGATCAATAGAGATAAGTTTGCAAATGCATTATCAGTGAGTTGGGGATGAAAGGGAATGTGTACGCCTTCATTTAACTGTTCATTTTCCGTTTAAATAGTTTTTAAGTGCTGCACAGGCTTAAAATAAAAAAATAGAATATTCAAAAACTAGAAATAAATAGAAATGATTATCTTAAATAACTGAGAGTTACAATACTGCATTGTAGCAGATGAAATCAAAGTCTCAAACTCGACATGAATTGAAAGCCAGAGAGAAGAAGTGGGTCTTTGGTGAAGATTAAAACGTCTCTAGGGGCTCTGTTGTTCTCATATGAATAGTCAAATATCTTTGTGTATTGTTTTGGCCCAGATTTGTCCCACGTCTGGTCCACATACCATTCTTGTTGGCCACACCTGGGCCACAAGTAAACCAAAGAAATACTGCATGTCAACGAAAGGTGGTCTGAATTTGATTTGTGCTATTTGGGCCATATTCACCATTTACCACATGGACCATTCAGGTTCACATCCAGATTACGCCTTGACTAGAGCATCGCATTTTTGCCAAAAGAGGCCCACATCTGTTTTGGGATATTTGGGCCACTTGGAGCTCACATACATTTCGTTTAGGGCACAAGAACGTTCAGGGCCTGAAGCTATATGTCGTGTAATGACACCACAGAGAGACGTTTTATTTATACACATACAAAAGCTCCAGCACAGAAACCTGACAGACAAGTTGTTCATGTGAGCACCTCGTCTGACCTGTCTTGGACTATGTTTAACCAATTTAAATAGCGAAGGAAGACTCACTGTAGTTCTTAGGGACATAGATAAATCATTATGTTTGACTGGAGCAATGTGTTTGCTGCTACTTTATAAGCTGTAGGAGTCTGGCAGACTGCTTATTCTCCTTTAAATCTCACCTATGGACATATTTTAATCATTTTATAGTTTTATTTTGTTTAGTTTTAACTGTTGTCATTTGTGTTTGTGCTCCAATTGCTTTAATTCATAAATCTTCTTTTAACTGTGTTTTAAAATGTACTGTATAGATAAAGTTAATTATTATCATTTTCCGGTATTCCCCTATAATTTATGTTCAATATTTGACCTTAACAACTGCATCCATGCAGTGTCATTGTCAGAACCAGTGGACCGAACCACACTCGTGACAAGGATACACAGCACGCATCACAGGAGCTCATCAGGGTTCAGGGTGTTAAATCAAAAACTGTTTAATGCCACACTAAATGCACTTTATTATCCTTTTCATTAATGTTGATGAAGTATGATGGAGAACCTGTACAGGGATTATTATCCACAGGATACCTGGTATAAAACGGATGAATGGAATTAAAAAAAGATAAATTCATTGAAGTTCAGCAAAAGCTGACAATTCCCTATTATAAAGTCTGTGAGCTTCATAAGCTGTAGCAGCTAGCATCTGTGACAGCCCTCAGTTATACATGAAATCAGTCTATAACCAAACGTATTGCTTTTATAGTTCAGACTATGGATAGTGACTTTTTATGGCTTTTTTAGGGTCTGCTGATATGACCGTCATTTGCATAACTGACTTGTTGTAATTAACTTTAGTAACTTCCTATACCAAACATTTACTTCCTGTAGTTTTGAAGCATGAATCATTAACGCTGTTTATATCCCAGCTGCTGTGTTTGTGAAACTTTTAACTCCTTCGTGATCCACTTTACACACAGAAGCACTGACCTTCACTTTCTTCCCATCGATGTCCACAGTGCGCACGGTGAAGTCCACACCGATGGTGTTCTGCTGCCTCTCTGCGTAAATCCCTGACTTGAAATTCTGCACCACGCAGGTCTTGCCCACGTTGGAGTCTCCGATGAGGATGATCTTGAACAGGAAGTCGAAGGAGTCATCGTGCTCGGACCCTAGGGTCTGCATGGTGGAGGTTACAGAGGGGTGATGCTGGAAGAAAGGGGTGATCCTTCCTATGTGCTGTGTAAAAGCACTTGCTGGGTTAGGATTTTAAAATGCTGGGTTTTTGGAAAGGCAATGTAGAAAACCCCACTTCTTCTCCTTCAAGGCTAAATTTCTAGTCGCAGAATTTCGTTGAATTTGTAAAACTGGTTTGACTTTGTTTGCCGAGATGCAAAAACACTGCAGTTCACAGGTCAGACATCACCTGAGTATTAATTTAAATTTGAAAACCTTTCCTTTTTTAAAATACTAACACCTCTGTCTTGTAGTCCAGCATTGTATCCACCTCTGGGCCTTTCTCCTGTTGTGCTCCTTCTCAGGGGTTGACCCACTTTGCAAAAGAAAGCAAGAACAAACATCCCATCCTTGTGTTGTTCAGGGAGAAAAAAATTAACTTCCTTCAGATAAAACAGGAACTGAAAGAATACAAAATCTCCAGCTGTCTGATCCACCTGCTGCTCCCTGTCAAACGTCAGTTTTCTTTCCTGTTCTCTCTCTTTATGCCGTCCTCTCATCCGTTTTTCCTGTTCTCGCAGTCTTACAGCCTCCTGTGTGTTTCCTCCCAGCACCTGTGGTAACAATAGAAACCTGCCCTACCTGTCCTGCCAGTAGCCCAGCCCCAGTGTCACAGGTGGATCCTGGGAAATGTAGTCATTGTGGCAGAGCCTCTGTTTAGCAGTTTCTGTTGAATCTCACACAGTAGAACTTTAAATTCTGATCTTTATGACAAGATTTACAGAAGATGATTAATTTGTTGAGCTGAACTACATATGTTGTGTATATTTTCACATATTGAGTGAGAGATGTCAGCTTTGTTATTTCATGAAGAGATGAGGTAGAGATAAACCAGGTGAGAGCTTTTTTCCAGTATCGTTTACTTGAGGGACAACACCAAAAAGGAAATATAGGCGTGGTAAAAACTTATAACTGTATATTTTCAATATGTTTAGTGAATGAACTTGTTTTTAATCCAATAAATGAATAAAACATGTTGGATAAGTTATAGCTAAATATAGTCTGTTATGCTATAGACTTACAGCAGCTGGTTTCCCATTAAAATTAAATAAGAATATATGTTCTTGGTATGAGTTCTTACCATGAGACTGGAGATGTCATAAGGAGCCATGGTATGAAACAATCTTTAATTGATGTGTACTACTACTTAGCTTGGTCCATATCCCATCCATTGATATGGAGGAGGTGGGATTAGTGACCTATGCAGCAAACAGCCATCAGGCGGTGATCTAGATGCTTCGGCTTCACTTTTTGGGGAGCTTCCCTGTCGTCCATCTTTATATTCAAATTATGCTCCACCAACGTAAATGTGTGAGTTCTCCAAACTAAAGAATGAGAAATGACATTTAAACCTTCTAGATAGGAAACTTATAATCAAAGTGACCATCATGATCCCAACCACTGCACCTTTAACGATTCTACGAGGTTGTTGGGTTTTTTTTTTAAATTATGGCAGCTACCCATTGAGTGCGATATTTCCGCATGCACCTGAAGGCAGCAGGGCTCCATCGTTATCCAGGACATCGCGGTGACGTCACAGTGACGTCCTGTGCGGCTCCATCACCACACTCGTCCTTTACCGAGCTTTTAGACACCTCAGATCCGTGATCCCTGTTGATGCTGCAGAGACCCGGAGACATGCAGCGGAGCGCGGTGGTCGTGGTGGCGGACAAAACCACCCTGAAGAGGCCGTTCATCTTCGCCAACGCTGTGCATATGGTAGGTGCATCCCCCCGGCGCGTTCAACCTGCACAACCTCCAGGCCTGTGGATGGATTTTTACAGCTCGTGTTTATTTATATACATGTTTACATCGCTGCTAAATCATCAGCCCGCTTTAGAACTAACCCAAGCACAGGATGTGCGTCTCAGAGAGGATGCTGCAGCGCCTCCATTCCATCACTGGGCTGTGATGTCTGCAGAGCATCATTTATGCCACTTTATTTAGAAAGGTTGCACACAAATGAATATCAGAGCAGGAAAAACACGCCATGTGCATCATTTGGTATTTGCATTCACACAGAATGAGCATCATTCTCTATCCCACAATGCATCTCCAGCTGTTTTTTCCCAGAATGCTCATGTTTACAGTGTGTTCGTGAGTTGAGAGTCGTGCTGTGTAGGCCTCGTTTTGGTTGTGATGCTACAGCCCTGTAGGAAAAAGGTATCCTGGATTATAGGGGCTGGAAATGATTCATATCAATTATTAATCAGTAATTATCACATTGTTATATTTTTAAGTTTAGAGACTCATTTTTGATGGTGTTGAGGTTTTAATCTCTTCTTTATGGGCAGATAATTAAATGAGGCACTTATGTTACACCTCCTCAAAGAATGTATCAGCATTCCATCAGTATATATTGGACTTTTGTTATATTTCTATTGATTAAACTTATATTGGGATGATTACCTCCACTACGCAGTTTGGTTTTCGTCTGCGTTTTGTTGTTTGCTAAAACTACTCAACCGATTTCCATGAACTTTTTTCGAGGGATGTTTTTCTACATTTTTGTGGATTTCTCCACGAGTAATTCATGGATCAGATGTTCAGGGTACTGATATTTATGCGTTTGTGTAATTTGGTGCTGATCCGTATAAATTCCAGATCTAGTGAATTTTAATGTGGTTTCGTAAGTGGACTGTTGGGCCTTTGTGAGGGTATTGTTTTATTTACCAGCCCTAATCCTGGATGGGTACACATACGAGTTCACCAAAAGGCCGCTCCCACATTTTGAGGGGATAATTTTTCGAGGCCTGATTAAATAACATTACCGATTTGGATAATAAGAGTTTAAAAATACGTATATATATATTCCTGCCTACTGTGTGTGTAACCTTAAACACTTTCACGTCTTCCTCCCAAAGGCGCTGTGCTTCTTCATGCTGACAATGACGGTCGCTTGGCACAGAGACCTCGTACAAACCGGCAAAGTAAGAGACTGTCTTCTGATTGGATAAAAAGAATAACTCCCAAAGCAGATATTATTATTCACTGGGGCCAGAAATAAACTCTGTGCTGTCAAAACGGAGCAAAGGGATTATCCAAAAACAGCAAATTATTAATGCATGGGCCTTCTCACTCTTCCATCTATCAATAATACCTGAACAAGCTCTAGCGTCTGTTTTTCTTATATATTATTGTATTTACTGTGTAAGAGCTGAACTCAAGCCCTCATGTCAACGAGCTTCTGCCTCCAAATGTCCTTGGGCAAGACAGTGAATTATCTTCACGTGCTAAGGGTATATAACATTCTGTAGCCAACCCTGACCTTTGACCCTTTTTGTAGCCATGCTATCTCAGCAACACGTCCATGACAACAACATTATATTAAAGTGTAAGTGAATATCTAAGACGAGGATCCTTTTGTCTTAGATTTTTATTTGTGAACCCTGATCCACAATTTATTAAGAAAAACATTTGCTCATATTTATGTAATTTTTCTCCACAGCTGGTGTCCAGTGTCTCTGTGGTGTTGATGTACGTCATCGAGATCGGCTGCCTGCTGCTGTCAGTGCTCGGCGTGTTCGGAGCTTGTAAAGGAAAGAGATGGTGTTTGATTCTGGTAAAAAAAAAAAGAAAGACCTTTTCTGCATGTAGACTGTAAATAAAGATGGACGACGTGTAAAATATCCTGCATACAAAAGCTGTTGTGCATTTTGAGCCAGAGTCTATGATATGATTTCACCACAACTAATTTAAACAAAAATTAGTGTGATAAGAACTACCTGAATTTACAGAAACCATCTTTGAGAAAAATGTATTTGACTTTTTCACCCCCTTACATGGAAAAAGACAGGGTTACACTGCCTGCACTGCAGCCAGCCACCAGGTGGCGGTCAAGAATTTTTAGGTGGCTGTCATCTTGTCAAACTGTGTATACAGTCTATGTTTTGTTACTTCTGTGTGTGCTCACAATTTTAACACCTTACTGTTTCTTAGATGTATTTACAAAAGTGTGTGTCTGTGTTTAAATGTGTGTTCTACTTCTCTTTCTCTTACTTTCTGCAGTATGCGACTGGGATGGCCGCAGCCAGTCAAACAATAATTGTTAGAACTGCACTAAGTTACCAAGATCTTTATGAGGTACAGTACTGAAACACAGTATTTTTACAGTGTGTACTATTGAAACAGTACAGTTGTATTCAGTGTGATTTCTCCCTCGTCAGAAGCGGGTGGTCCGTGAAGAGACCAAGCTGCTGTCCATGATGCCGCTCAGTGCAACAAGCAAAGCCAACCGGACTCTTCTGTACAGTATTCAGGAAGAGGTAAGCAGCTATTTACATGGGGTTTGGTTTTATGATATTTAATATGAATCAATATTTCTTCAAAATTACAGCTGAGAAATAAGTAGAACTTCTCTTCACCACCCAGTTAAATGGTGTGTCTATAAAATCTATACATACATCATACATCCTTTTTACAACATCAACATATATCTCAAATAATGAGATATCACAAAATGTGGCCTTTAGAAAATGACTGTTTCACACCAACTCCACATCATAAACATATTTTCATCATAACCTCAGTCATGGAGGTTGTTTTTAGTCAGCTTTCCTCTGTGTGTTGGAGAGCAGGATTACCACATGTTGTATAATATTCAAGTCACACATCCTTTCTTGTCTGTATAGTCATCTTATTTCAAGCATGTTTAAATCAGAGCCACCAGGCACCGCTAAAAGTCTGTCGAATTAGCTACTAGTAGTTGTTGTACACAGTATAATCATGCATATACAGACAAGTATCACTGGGAGACTGTGATACTGAAGACAACTTAAAAACATGAGGATCTCAGTGAGGTTTTGTTGCTTTGTGTAGCAGCTTTTCTTCCAGTGTTTTCCAAGCACATGTTTTCAATTGACAGTGAAGATGATGAATTCCTCTGAGTGTGCAAATCACACCAAATCTAAAAACATGTGCATCACACATGTGTGTTTGGATTTGACTTGAGTTCTGATGCCTATGAGGAGCATTCATTCTGACGCAGGTGGCTGCTCAGGCTTTGTCTCGGCCTCCTGAGGCAGAAAGAGACAAACTCCCACAGTTCTAAGATGGAGTGTTGCCCAAAAAAGACAAGAGGACAGATGGAAGAGAAATCTGAGGAGGCTGCCGGGAGAAGAACATCGACACACACTGTACTACACACATTTTGCTGGAATTCTCTAGAAGCTGTAACCCTCAACACAGACAAACACACTCAACAATCAGGCAATCAAACCTGAATGAAGCCACACCTGCAGATTATATAGGATTTGGGGTGTGGTTAGCCAAATGGGCGTGGTTTAGTTTAAAGGGACATCACACTGCTGCTGTGGCAGATTCATGACCTTGGGTTTTACTTGTGTTCACACATGTACTGTGAGGGTGTCTTTTAACCTGATCTTAGTTTTACTGAAATGATTCATGTGTTCATTTATGACACATTGTAGGGTGTCCTTTGGTGCCTAGAAAGGCCCGAAGAAATAAAATGTATTATTTATTCTTCTTATTACCTGCTCAAGAGAGGATGCATCATATGTGGGTACAGAACATGGAGCGCTTATACAGATGGACAATGCCTCTCCACTTCCTGTTGGACAAACATTTGGCTAAAATATCTTGGATACGGTTAAAGCTGGTCGGGCTGTGGTGACGGTCCTGTAGATAAAGGCACTGTGACCAATCGCAAGTAATTCTCAGCTTCGAGGATATGTCATTTTGTCCAGTATACGTTTGTCCAAGATACAGATTATTGTCCGGACATTGTATTGTATAATGCATTTAGTGTGTTTGTCTGTGTGTGTGTCACCTCCAGTTCGAGTGCTGCGGTCTCATTGAAGGCTACAAAGACTGGGGCTCCTTCATCCCTGCCTCCTGTAACTGTCAGTATCCAGGAAAATGTGTGAGTTTCTCTCTTTATATAAACAGAAAATGAGTAAGCAGTTAGGTCCTTATAGAATTAAAGTTGTGATATTTTATTTTCGTCATGTTGTGTGATGGGATTTTGTGAATCTTCACCAGATTCGACTACGGGGCAGCGCCACACTCGGGGCGCCAAAGAACCAGTATGTTTACCAAGAGGTAAATAAATCTTTTAGAAAATTACAGAGGCTTGAATAGAGTGGTGCAAAACACAGGGACAACTTACAAAACAACAAATTACAAAAAAAGAAAACGAAATATATCACAGAGCAGAAAAAAATTATAAAAACCTTACAAACCTCTCTTTTTATTCCCCTCAGCCTTGTCTGCCGATTTACGTCTCGGAACTGAAGCTCGCGTTCTCGTTGACGATGGCCATACAGTTTGGAAGCGGAGTGTTTTGGGTACGTTTTCATTTTTCCCCTTCACATATTCATATATTTGCCTGTGCCAGTCGTTCACCTCGATCCAACCTGTGCTTCCATTCTCCGTCCTGCAGATGGTTTTACTTGTCATGAGCATCAAGCTGATGGGGCAGATCAAGAGAAAACAGGAGTTCATGGCTCTCCTCTATTCTAACAGATACGTCCCCGGTGCCTTCTAGTAACCTCGTACCTTTCAATACGTATTTACAATTATTATCTTGTTTGAATTTGCACATGTAAACAAATTACGCTGTATATCATAACCTGGCTATATTTTATGCTATAGCAACATATGTTAAATTATGATTTTCATAGTGTTAATGCATGTATGCAATATGGATAAATAATCTACATGCATAAGATGGTTTTCAAATGAGTTTTTATTGCCTTACTGCTGTGAAAACAATGCAGTTTAATTAAATTATCTAATCTTTAATAATCGTCACATGCTTTCTCTTAAGATTCAGTTCTCGATGAATATCCAACCATTTGTTTTTCTGGCATTTCATTTTTTACAGGCAAGTTGTTTTCAGACACGAATGTCCACAGAAATGGGTCCGGACTTTCTACGCAGTAGGAGATTCTCCGCTCAGACACAGGGCGTAACGTATTAACTCCACTGTGGAGATCACGTGTTTTTGTTTACAGCGTCTGCTCCTTTTACCAAAAACTCTCTTGGCATCTTTGTCAGTGTATGGCGGCGCTATTTCATCCTGAGATATTTGTATTCCTTTCGTTTTCAAAATGTTTGTGTCCATCGCGTGTTAGAAACTTCACCAACATGCCCACTCGCTCGTGGTGAATCCTGTGGAGGATCTCCTGCTATGTTCCCATTCATTTGTGTTCTCACGTACAGCCCCTCTGGAGAAAGTCCTGAGAATATCCGGAGTTCACTGCACCTCTGAATGCTGCTTAAGCATCGTCTCATCTTGATAATATACGTTCTATATGCATTGCCTTCGCATTTGTCTTTGTAAAGCCAGATATAAATCCGATCACATCTACTGTACCATGTGCACGGAAAACATTTATGTTTGTCAACCGGACCAATTCTTTCAAACGTACGTCTCCAACTCGTCTTAAGCACACGCATTGAATTTCCAGCACTTGAGCAACAAACCAATATCTGATATTAATAATCCTAATGTAGCATCTTTCTTAAAACAGTGTTTACAAAAGTGCTTTGATTGAAATATATGATGATTTATTTATTACGGAGCAATGTATTTTCTCGGGTAAATAATCAGGTCAGACAAAAGGAATGAGTCCACGCTCTCGTTGGGATGCCAGAATGTCTCGATGCCTTGTGCATTATATATCTGAAAACTTCCATTACTTAATTCCATTTGTTTTTCCTTAAAGCACATGTAGTGAGTAAATGATATGTGAGCAGAGAGGGGAGTCAGTGTGGTCGCACATTCAGTAGACAGGCCTGGAAATCCTCAGTTATTTCTGACGCGAGAGGCTCCTGTGGGAAAACGTGTCGTCATTGTATTTGCAGAGGTCCCGACTGATGACACCGTTACGCCACATCGCCCCCAATACAACCGGCTGCAGTCGAAATGTCGTCTCTCGACTTAAATACTGTCAAACGAGTTTCATCAGATACAGCGGATCCGATGTCTACCTGTGCACTTTAACCATTAATGCCTAATATACAGTATATGTTCTGTAAACTATGGTATTTTTGTTTCTGTCGTACACTGTTTTTCTGATTTATGGAATGAAGTCGTGTAATATTTTGTAAATAGGAATAAACAATGTGATTCTTGTTTCGTTGATGTCTTGGCTTTTATTTTGAAACCTTAAATACTGTAGTCTCCACGGTCTCCCACAATCCAGAAATGAAGCCAAAATGTTCCGGATCTGTTCCATCTTGCAGATTTGGAGACAGAGACATCCACCCCCTAATTGCAGTAGCCATTGGAGGACGGAGTTCCCACCAATACACACGCTCTACCTATCACAAGTCAGTCTCAGCAGTCGATTATGACATTTGACTCCGTTTTTATAGCATCAAATAACCAATTAAACTTACTGAAAAAATTAACACTTGAACACACTACCTGAACGGACAGAAACCATATTTGAGAAACATTTATTTGACATATAGGTTTTGATTAAATTCCTTTTTTTTCCCTGTAAATTTTGACATATTTTAGCACTTTAGTTTATTTCCATCCATGTCAAATTTGAATTATTGAAACTAGAGACCTTGTGACATGTACTGCAGCCATCCACCAGGTCACTATGGGGAGCTGTCCTGCCAGCCATCTTTATATATTGTCTTTGGTGGCACCATGCCACTATATTCCACGTCTCTTTTTATTTTCATTTGTTTAATATGTTAAAAAAAGTTGTTTAATGTTATCTCTCTTTCTTGTTTATGAAAAAATGAAAATCTTACAAAAAAATTTGACATTTTTTATTTCTTTTTCACATTATCTTTGTTTTTTTTTCTCATGCTATAACACATAATACACTACACTATAATACATGCATATACATTGTGCATGTAGTAATGACATCTTAGAAATGAAAGTAATACTGCAAAAATACTTGTGTATGTAACAGGCAGCTTGTCATATATCAAATACTGCATGATATCAATGTTTTTTCTTTAGCTGTATGTGTTATTGTTTAGCTGAATATGCTGACATGATGATACACATTCATCAGAGTATCAGCTACAGATAAAAACTGAAGAAATCCGCCCCCATTTAGTAGTTCACCTCCGGGGTGTAGAACATCACAGTGGTGTCCTCCCTCCGATTCATCCGACACAAGATGAAAATACACAACACTATCGACAAAACCTGAAGGACAGTGAGACAGACATGCTTATTTATTCCATATTCAATAGTTTGTTTGGAAGCTGTAGTCTTCAAAAGAGACTGAAGGGGGCAGAAACAACAGACAACAGGAATTTGGTAATAGGTTTGAAAACAGAAATAAAGACAGAAATCAATCATTAATTAATTCCATTTGACTACAGAGCATCATTAATACTGTTAAACATCTATATTTCTCACCATCACAGGTCTGCTATGAACAAGGTACATTGATATGTGAGGCGGAGGAGTACTAGAGACAGAAATGTCTTAAGAAGAGAGAGCTTGGGGTCAGGATGGTGAAGTGAGAATAAATTAAAACAGGAGGGCAGGTCATGAGCACAAGATGGACAGTACATACCCAGATTAGTGTGAAAGCAATCAGCACACTCGACACAATAAAAATCAAATGTAATTCCTCAGCAACCAGGTATGGAAGGCATGGCTGAAAGAGAGAAATTATATGGTATCATCACCATAAAATAGGTTTGTTGGTCAGAATAATAGGAGATTACAAAGGGAAAGTCGTAATTTGATGAGAAATAAAATGGCAAATTAATGAGAAAAGCGTTGTGACATTACAAAAATAAAGTCTTAATTTAATAAGGAAAATGGCGTTAAATTATTAGAATAAAGTTGCAATTAAATGAGAAAAAGTCATTACATTACGAGAATAAAGAAAAATTTGCATGGACCTCTGCTCACCTGAGTTCCACTCCTTCTGGATCCAAAGTCTTGACAGCTGCCAATCGCAACGGTTTGTTGTGAGACTAAGAAACGGCAGCATCGCAGTCGACCAATACCAAATACTTCAGTCTCCAAAATGAATGATTCTATCCTTGAAATCTCAGATTTATGTTCCCTTTAAGTGGCTGTAATGCTCCATCATAGGAAAAAAATCATTCACTATTCTATTATTATCCTTCTTTAGCATCGGCAGACTTTTCCTTGACTACTGTTGAAATGCAGTTTTCACTTTGGCAACAGTTAAAAACCATGCATCAACCTGTACATGTATAAAATAAAGACTTTCCTCATTACCTCTTCATATACCATGATGGGCTGGTCATTGGTCCTGTAGTCAAAAAAGAGGATGCTGTCAGGAGGAGCTGCCACCTGGAATACACAGGTAGGAAATATTAGCTGAATGCAAACAGGCGATGATGTAACTTGAGTGAGTTTGAGTTCAGGCTTACACAGGGTTTCATAGACTGGTCAGTGCACAGGCAAGATTCTGGGATGTTGTAGCCCCAGTCCACGTAGCCCTGGTCCATTCCACAACACTGATACTAGGGGAGAGGAATCATTTTTAAATGCATGAATTAATGACGATCAATATTCTGTTATTGATATAACTTTCCAAAGGTAAGTGTAAGGGAAAGGATAGCCAGTTTATTGATTAAGTTTCATGACATTACTGACAACAAATTTGTCACTCTGATTGGGTAGGGAGGAAGTCTCCCTGGCTGGGTGAACAGGAGAGGTACCTACTCCCCCGGGAGAGGTCAGTCGGAAAAAAAAAAAAGGAGAGAGGAAACTCCAGTGGTGGTTGAGAGTTGTCTCCAGGAGCAGTTTTAACACCTACTGTATGTGTGAAGATGAGTTCTGGAAGCTCTCCTTTGTTTTCAGAGCAACAGAGACGTGTGGTCAGGCTTTTGTCACATGTAGGCCCAACCATGATTCACAAATAGTATAGGTCCCAACACTTTTAGCCACCCATGCCAGACTTTACACGGAATGTCTGCTATTCAAAATAAGGTACAAAATATTTTGGGGTT